GCTGGACCACCGGTGTCACCAGAACCACATGGAGCCTAATCCACTGAAGACTGTGAAAATGACTGTGGACTCCTGAAAGAAAAAGCATGTGCATAATTGGCCATGTTGCTGGTGATTTACATATATTGTATCCACAAAGAATAAAGCTTGCAAAAATGTTTGGTCAAAGTATACTACTTGTGATACTGGCAGTTTTGAAGTGGTCATTAAAGAAATATAAGTAATAAAGATGCTAACTGCTCCAGATGTGCTTTTTCTTTTGACAATATTCGACCATTGCTGTTTCTGATAGTCCAGGTATGTTTAAATGCAGTCATTATCTCAATTTACTGTTTTTGTAAAAACATTGACCACAGAACTTTTGGCGAACAGGTTTACATTTGACTTTTAAATGTGACAAATAAAGATGCAAACTTTGTCCACAATTTATTTCAGGTTTGATTAATTGCTTTGTGGGTTGCAAGTATTCACATTTGCATGTCCTAACTCAGTATTTTTGGACAGTTCGGTCATTAGAATGTGAATTGCATATGCATGAGGGCACAAAATGCAAAAAAGTATATGCCTGCTGTGCTTCTCACATTACACAAGCTGATTGATTTACTTTGTTTTTGTCAGAGAGCTAACCTCTTAGAATATTGCTTACTTACTGCAGGTATTTGGCTTTTACTTATTTCATTGTGGCTGCTTTGTTTGTGGTGTATTCGTAGTTTTCCTTTGCATGCAGTATTTTAAAGTATCCAAAGCTTTTCTCAACATCTTATAGTGATCCTTATTGAAGTGAAATTTTCTCCACTCTTAATAAAGGAAATCAATAAAGACAATTCTACTCATAGGGAGGAAAGTAATTTGAAGTAATGAATGAATGTTTTTGCCCCTTTGTTATATAATGGATTAAGCTCTAGGAGTTAACTAGATCTAAGGGCCACTCAAATGAAATCTAATCTTCTTTGGTTCTTTCTTTTTCAAATTACACATCCAAAAAGATACATTTCTATTGAATAATCATTATCAAACAGTTTTATATATAAACATGTTACACAGTTAGTATTTATTATCCAAGTTGCAAAACAAGATAAAGTGATTTAACTCTAGATTTCACATTTAGAAACAATGAGAGACAAACAGACCTCTCTGTTGGTAAAGACTAACTGTTCTTTATAATGTGATCTTTATCAACTCAAGGCCTAACTGTTCCTTACTGTAACAAAATATTATCTCCAAAATGGCATTGGAAATGTCAGTCTAGTGTCCTGAGGAGATAACAAAAAGGTAAAAATGTTATGCATTGCATAATGTTACACACCATTTAAACTGTGTGGCCTATCTGGATAGAGGACTGTCCAGAAAAATCAAACTAAATGCTAGTTTTAGTTCTGTGTAAGGTGTGTTAGGTATATTCTAAACTATTTAATTTGTTGGATTTCCTCTTGTCTGAGAACTAAATTTTGCCTGGATGAAAACTGCAATGGATATGAATAGTTTATAAACTTCCCCTGAGAGCAATTTGTCAGTGATCCAGGAGATAAGAAGTGGCTGAAGGATAGAAACTGCAATTCTAAATCCATGTCAAGGAAACTCCCTGGATCATTATTACATCAAGTGCTTGTAGCAAATTCTGAAAAAGTGTCTACAGTTATAAGAAACAATTAGTTGTTACAACCTCCAATTCACCATTCACCCAAATTTCATCCATTATTATTGGTCCTGCTAAAGTGAATTACCGTACTAAAGTTTAGAAAAAAACAGATAGCAGAATATTCAGTATCACTGCAAACGTTTTAAAACAAAAAAAATATGAAACCTAGACCTTTGATCATTTAAACATTGATTTAATGAATTAAAACTTATTTTAAATATTGTTCTGTTTTCTTTTTGCGTTGCACTCTTCTTCTGATGGTGCAGTAGTGTGGTTGTTTCCTGGCACATGTGCACAATGAGATGTACTGTCCAAAATCTTTAGGTAAATGTTATTAGAAATGCTTATTATTAGCTACTGTTTTCAAGAAAGCATGATATAATATAGTTAATTTGTTACTTAATGTTTACAGGTTATTTCTTAATGATGATTTTAAATGACTTGCATAGATTGTATTTATTATCCAAAATCATTCCAAACATAAATCATTCCTTAGAGTGCAACTTTGTGAAAAATAATGTTTGTGGCAGTTTTCTAACCTTTGGCCTTTGCAAAAAAACTAAAAAATAAAATAAAATGGAGGTTTAATTTTGTATTTATCTTATATATTATTAGATAATCATCCATATCTACCCGTACAAAGAAAAAAGAAAAAGACTTAAAAACTGTAATCATTCCTACATTTAAAATGTTCTTTCTCTGTCTAGTAAGGTTTCCAGTATTTAGAAAAGGTTCAGTCAGATAACCACTGAATGTACAATAACTATGTTGAAGAATGAAAATAAATGCAACTTCTTTCTGCTTGCAAGACTGAATGGTATTCCACTGAAAAAACACATAAAATTGTAATCAAGCCCCCCCAAAAAAACAATAGGTGCTTGACCAAAAAATGGTCTTTAAAAGTTACTAATAACCATGTTCATTTGGGGACAAATATGAAGAGAACAACAAAAGATTTAAATAAGGAACCACAAAAACTTCATTTGAAGGACATGTGAGTGCTTAAGGCATTGCCAGAGGGACACTGAGGCACTGCCTACAGCTATGAAATTAATTTTGTGCTTCTCACAGCTCTGATCATCATTGTTACTCCCCTACTCATATCTAAAATGCCTAACAAAAATGACAGCTTAAAAAAATATGAAGATTTATCACAAGAATAATTACTAGGGTGCGGTGGTGGCGACCCATGAACAGAGGCCTTGGTCCTCAACACGTCTGTCACAGTTTAGAGTCCTGGCCTGGTGACCTTTGCTGAATGTCTTCCAACTCTCTATACTCCCATTTCCTTTCTGCCTATTTTCAAAGAAATGAAAAAGTAAAGGCCAGAGGAGCCTAAAATAATAAAAAAAGAAGAATGAATAAAATTCAAGTACCATTGAAAATAATTATGCAACAAAAAACTAAACAACCACATTAACTGTCCACCTAAGAAAGATATCGGTTTAAATATAATCTCTTTATTATTTTTGCTTTATTTTATGAATGCTTATATATTTAGATGAAAAAAATAAAATAATTCTGCTTTTATATCTCATTGTAAATGTATAAACATGTTTCTTTGAGTGAATAAAGTTTGTAAATTTTAACAAAATCTTTTAAGATCAAAACATTTTTACACCTTTAACAGGACCAGAGATCAGGTACCTACAATTCATACTGAAGAGAAAATAGCACTACTTCAAACATATTTTTAGTCAAGTACAAATTGCTTAAATAGAAGAAGAAAACTATTTGGTAATGTTAATTAAGTAGTGAGTAACTGATGGTAGCATGACATAATTAAATATTTAAACATGTTCTCATTACACATGCAGCAATAAAAGGTTGGGTGCCAGCTCTGGTAACTTAAAAGGCCAATATCAAGCAGGATCAACTTTTAGACTCCCTTTATCATAACCATCACCAAAGTGGTCTCTCAGTTGATTCATGTACTGTACGTCAGTGAAATCCTTTTAAATTCCGGTGTCTGAGCGACAGCGCATCCCTTACCTTGTAAAAAATTGGGCATCACCATTGTATGTAGAACAGTGATTACCATCCCACACCAAGAAGCACCTACATTTACCGAGCTGTGCCTCGCCAGGAAACAACATGCCACCTGTCAATTAGCCACTGGTCAAATGATGCAGAATACAATAATTTCTGCTCCAAGTTGAGATAAAGTGGCTCTTTTAGCACCTAATCTGCAATGATGATAAAATTTGTTTTTAAGCTATTGTCTAATCAGTGTCTAAGTCGCAAAAATGTGTTTTTGTGCAAGAGTTCCCGAACCAGCCTTCCTAAAGAGAAGCCTAATCACGAGATGTGATGTAATACCATGCTGCTAGGCTCTAGGGTGACAATATGAAATTGGTGGCATCAGACTAAGGACAAGTGTATTTCTTCCAGATTTAAAATAGCATCAGAAAATAAACAGCACTAATATAGCATAATAAGCATATAGTCTGTAGCATCTGAGGCAGTATTTTATATTTATTCCTACTGTGTAAAACAAGTTGGAAGGCTTTAAAAAGTATAATAAATAACCTTTCAAAACAAACATTAAAAAACATATAAATAAATATTATCACTACCATGAGTAACAGCAAATTAAGAGAGATTTAACAGCTTAACAAATCTTTCTTTTTTTATGTAAAACTTAAAAAAAACAGTAATTACAATAGGTAATATGTTAGAAGTTACTGGCAGTGTGTAAAATAATTTACTCAGAGAATAGAGATACTTCATGATATCAGTCAAGTAAAAATAGACAGTGTTGTGCATTATTACTTAAAGCATTTTCTGTTTCTCAAAGTTACTCAAGTAAATATGATTAAGTAACGTTTACTACCCAGTATGTAAGTAACAACTGAATCATAGCTGTACCTTCATTTTTCATAGGGGAAGTCTATTTAATTGTATTATGTTTTTATTAATAGTTATATTAATAACTACAATATAACTATTGATAATTATTAATGGTGCCTATCTACAGATGCATATAAAATTCATGTATTTACAAGAGCCATTTGGACAGTTTTGTAAATGACTGCAAAACTTTAAATTTGTTTTTGTGCTTCACAAATGCACATATTGTTAGCTTTCGTGATTCATAAACTAAAATAAGGTGGTCAAATAATGGCAAATTAAAGAAATATAGAGACTAAGATCCCTTTATACATCGGTGTGTGCATGGATGGTTGCAATAATGTTGACCATAAGCCAGTACATTACCAGTACCTGGTAGAGGCTCTACACCATCTCCTGCCTCAATTTATGGACTGCTTCAAACAACCACCATTCCTCTCTGGTTCTAAATATTGATAATTTTTTTCACGGAATGTTTAATAACAACAAAAGACGTTTAATTCAAGTGTGTATAGAATATTTCTTTTATTTCTATATTGTGAATACTTTAGACTTCTGTATAGACAGTTGTCACTCACGTTCAACTGGACATTGGTTTTGTACACAACAGTTCTGTAAACATGGTCCAGGAGATCCAGGCAGGGTGTATTTGATCACATTCAATAGACAAAGTAGCCCAGGGTACACTGAAGAATATCTTTTTTTTCTAAATAGTTGCTCTCAGGTAAACATTAAACATTTTAGGACTATGGACAGTTACATTTAAAATACTTTACTTTCACAATTTAAACAATCTGTTAAATACAAGATTAGATGTAACAAAAGAATATATTTATATATCATGTATTCCTATATACTTCACATATATTTGCTTTTTTTTGTATGACTTAATTCTATTTCAGCAAGAGTATTTTTTTAAAGGTTATACTCAACTTTTTTCCCCTTAGTAAAAAAAGAGAAGAAAAAAATCAGTAAAAGAACATCACTTCTAAAAGAAATATAGGCTATTTTAATTGTAATGAATACAAAAGTTATATGTTTAAAATGAAAACATAAAAGTCCCTGCTACGCAGTTACCATAAAATCTGATATACAATATATTGAAAGAGGTGTTTATAAGCTTTCAGTCCTCTGATATATATATTTTTCACAAGCAAAAGGTTAAAGGGTAAAAAAGTATCAACACATTATACACATCCACTCTCTTTGTCTCTTACTTTCTATCATTCCTTTTTTCATTGTTCATTAGCAGAATAAGCCACACATATTCGTTCTGCACAAAATAATAATAATAATAATAATAATAAGCAAAAGTTGCATAATATAAAACTATCAATAAAAACAATGCCATCTGTTTTGGTGAATTGAAGTTATAAGCTACTGTAGGCACTGACCAAGTCCCAGCTTAGTCTTTGAGACAAAGGCTGGGTACTAAGACTGTTTCAGGTCTTAATAATCCTTATGGTCTCAAACGGCTCTTTAAAGTCTTTGGTCTCATGCATCTAATATTCCCTTTTATATTCTGCAGTGTAACACAACTATTCTATTGGCCCTGTTTTTCTTTACTCTTGCTAATTAGGTGATTTTATGCAGCTTCATGGTGTTATTGTCAAACGGCTAAGTCAAAAATAAGAAGTTACTAAAACTGTTATAATCTCTGTTGGTTCCTGAGTTAACACAGTTGACTCTTTTTGGTGATGGATGGTGGAAAACATGGAGTGTCTCGCTTAATAAGGCACTGACAGAGATAAGCCTCTGTGCTAACAGAAGGGAAAGAACAACAGGTTTCTCAATACTGTAATTAATTAAATAGCCAGAATCTTCATCACCAGAACATTTTGGTTTTATGTACTGTATAGTAGTACAAGGCGATGAGATCAAAGTCTGATTTGTGACCCTTCCATCAAGTAATAGAGACATCTGTACATAACCATGGTAAAAGCTATCATTAATGAGGGCTATAGAAATCCATATGATTTTCCTTGAAGGACTGACAGTTATTATTTTAAACTAGCAGTGGTGGAATTCTTTCAGATGCTAATAGCTTTAACCCTGAAATGAAAGTGCCTGAAGCCATCAAAGGGATTGTGTAGTTAATGCTTGGGGAGAGGAAATCAGCTGCTGGGAGAAACTGGAGCCGACTGCTCTCCTTTTTTATCCAACCATTGGTGGCACACAGGAAATCCAAATGATGGATGACAGAGTTCTGGGTATTTGTGATCAAATGGCCAGCCAGTGTCTGAGCTAGAAAACAGAAGACAGATTTTATTAGATTTAGACATGTTGTTTTCTTTTCAGTAGCTTTTTTTTTTTTTTGTTTGCATGCAACCTAACATAATGTTTTGTTTCTTGTTTAAATGCAAACTACTGTAAATACATGTAGTATTTTGTACTTCCGAATGTTGCCCTTTCTATTTTTGAGTTATTGAGGCCCTTTCACACTAGATCAGGACTCTCCTATGGTCTCTGGAATTTGGAAGACAGTTCAAACATAACTGGGTCACCAACTATTCATCATTTTAGGCAAACACCCCCTACAGCACTCTTTATAGAGTTTACATATGTTTTTCCTGCTGACTATTGGACATCTAGCACAATAGTACACATTACATCTGGTATTACATACAAACAGAAATTTACAGTTTGTTTTTTTTTGTAAATATTGAAGCTTTATTTGATGACATTTTTTTGTATAGGAACAAACGTTCCTGAAGTTTTCCAGCTCTAAAGTTGTGCATAATTTTGAGAGGTGCACACATCTTCCTCTGTCTAAAAAGATGGTAGTATTGTACATGCTGATATCTATTTGCAAGCAGCAGGAGATTATAAGCTTTGTAAGGTTTTTGTTTATTTAATATACATTTTTTAATGTTGAGTTTAGATTATTCATCAAGACTTCGTTTTGAGAGTCTTGTTTTTGCAGAGCCTAAGAGTCCAGAAACTAAGATATTTGAGGTACAGCCATTTAACTGTTGGTGTGGTTAGCTTTTTTATTTTCCATTCGGTTTTTTCAGTTTATGCTTGATGTGTCAGCAAGGTCCTGCAATACGTGGCCCAATTATGTAATTCTAGCCTCTTTCTGTGGTCTGATTTTTCAGCACTGCCTTACTAAAACACAGTTCCACACAGAAAAACATAGCAGAATATCAACAGCTCCTACTGCTGAGGGTTCTCAATATAACATTGTATGAAGATCTTATGATTTTTTTTTTCCATAAATGTCTCCAAAATCAACAGACTGTGTACAGATTTTTGATAGAAATTACTGCCACATAAAGAGGTATCAAAAATATCAGAAACTGTGTTTTCTACTGTAACATGTATCATAGAATCCCAGGAGGTATCTCCAAGATTTCTTTGGCTTACTTTTAATGCCATTCTAAGGAGGCATTAACTTGCTTAATCAACTTTTACATTTTTCGAAGAACACAAACTTTATTAGACCTCAACTCACAAATACTAAAATTGTTTAAATACAAACTTCCTTGTACGGTTTTTCAACTTTCCGTCTTTAAATGGATGAGAATATGTTGCACTTACTTTGAATTGCCGCACATTTCCTTCGGCCACCAAATGATGCTCATGTTCTGGAGTGATACAGTAGGCTATTTTCTGCAAAAAAGTGATAGAAAAACAGCATTTAGATTTCTAAAGAATCTCAGAAACTCAGAAAATATGCTTTACCTTTTAAAACGTATTAAACTTTAACACCACACATAATATAAGCTTTTAAATGTTAATTTCCCTGTGCATTAGATAAGTAAAGATGAAATAAAACATGGGAAATATTTAGAGATTTTTTTCTCACAAAAACTTACAAGAAATATTTAGGCCCTACCTTTTGGATCAAAGAAATATTTATTTCATTCTGAAAATATAAGAAACATTGAACTCTCAAAAAGAACTGTTAATCGGATCTTGTAATCCCCCCCAGTGCAGTAAAGACAATACTAGTAGGTTGCCAACAGTTAAAAATACAGCCCTTCTCTTGTTTGATGATTGCAAAGACTGTGCTTTGATAATGAGGAACATGCTACAAGTTATTTCCATGTTCTTGAGCCAGGCAAAACATATTTTCTAAGATCTATTTTTATCCTTAGACCTTTTTCAAAAAAAGTTACATTTATATCTGATGAAGTACATGATTACTCATTGGGAAACCTAATAAAATATGCTACTCTTTGTAGTTTTATATATACCCTTACATACTGACCTGTTTGAAAGTTCCAGGAACACTGAAGAATTTATAGAAGGCATATAAGGGAACACACAGCATTGAGGACATTGCTACTCCCCAGCCCACAAGGTTGGCCCAATAAGGAAAAGTGTAGTCATCATACTTCAGTCCTCCTGAGGTCAGTGTACTGGCTATTACAACAAACTGTAAAAGTGAATAAAAAAAAAGAATAAAAAAGACAAATTAATTGTTGTGCATTTCCAAAAACATGGTACTTATAAAATTGGGGGTAATATTAAGATATTCCCAATTCTGTAAAACATACAAACACATACAGTAGTTCTCCTACACAACCTCTTTTGTCAGAAGAATTGCACACAGTGCTTTGAAAATTCATTTAGCATTTTTATTCATCTTTTAATATTGGCCTATGTATCCACACAATAAACCCAAACTCATAATAAGCTAATTTTTTTTTGTACCCTAAAGAAAATTAAGCAAGTTGTTTATCAAAACCAAACAATTGGCTACCATTGACAGCAAAATGTTTCTCTTGTGTTAACTCGTTTTGAATGAACAAAACAAAAGACTACAGTAGGCTTCAGGGGTCGAAGCAAAACCATGACAATATCTTTTCAGTGTCAAATTTACAGTGATGCCTTATGTGACACTCTTGCTCAAATTCTTTAATATGGTAAAAAGGGAGTATACGAAAGGAGTGAAAGTGTCTTTTCATAGTGTTTATCTTTTTATGCTTTCAAAGTATTGTGACTATGCATGGCTACTGCTTTGAGCAGCCTATGGTTTTGAGGTAACATGCTGATCTTAAGATATATGTTTTGCAAATGGTTAGGTTCTCTGTCAACCACTTAGGATTCAGATCTCCTGTATCTGTTTGCCCCAAGTAAAATAAAGCCACATTGACTAGATAATTTATTGCCCATACATTGTTCCTTCACAATTTGAATAGTTAGTTTTTGACTGTTTTTTGCCGATGCCTCAAAACTCCCAAAGTGACTGAGTAACGGATGTTAACACGTCAGCATAGAAATGTGACAGTTTCTCATGAAAGAAAACATGTTCATCAAAATATGTCAAGAAGTCAACATTACGGAGGCAGTTGATTTTGGAGCTGGATTAGGAAAAGCTTTATCACGCATTGTTGTGAGGCTGAAGGAGGGGTCAGAGAGACAAATGGAAGAGAAAGACTTGCTAGAGCGTGAGGGGGTGTAAATATGGAGAGGTTTGGACAAATCGGGAGGGGCAAGGTTATGGCTGGCCTATAAAATTAGGAGGAGTAACTTAAATTGAATCCTGAATTGGATGGCAAGCCAATGTAGCTGTTTTAGAATTGGGGTAATGTGATGAAAATAGGAGGTTAGGGTGATGATAAGGGGAGCAGAATTCTGGTCCAAATTAAGTTTATTGAGTGTTTTCTTTGGGAGACTATAGAGGTGAAAGTTACAATAGTCAAGATGGAAGGTGACTAGGCTATGATGGAGGACAGAGGTGAAGTGGGGACTGAAGACGAGAGTTAAGAAGGGAATAATGTGGTGAATGGTTGACAGAAAAGGTATACCTCGGTGTCATCAGCATAGCAGTGAAGTTTGATATTGAAGTAGTGACGGATAGAGCCGAGGGGAAGGAGAAAAAAAAAAGAGTGGACAGAGGAAAGGGCCCTGGGAGACACCAGAAGTAACAGGAGATTGAGTGAAATGAAAAGCTTTCATTTAAATGTACATGGTGCAGCAAGTTAAAATATAAACCGGACCAACAGAATACAAAAGGAACAAAGCCATTGGAGGAGGAGAGAGTGTGAAATGGCATTAAATGAGAGTTTCAGTATGGACAGAGGTCATGGAGAGCGTTGTGACTTTAACAAGGTATTTGGCAGTAAGAGGGGACTTACTATCTGGGGAGATAGCCAAAAACTTGAATAGTCTAACAACGGAAAATTATCTTGGCTGCATGGAGCTGATTTGTCAATTTAATCCTTTTTCAAAGGCTCATGCTGATAAATTTGGAAAGCCTGGCAGAGAGACTATATCCAGTCTTTCCCTTACTGTGTGTGAGCTATTTATCCAGCTGATGGGACAGAAGGTGCTGGAGAAAATCATCAGTAGAGTGAAAATAGCAAAGTATTTTGCCATCAGTGTCAACCCAACTAAAGACATCACACGTGTGGAATAACTGACTTTCATTTTTTGTTCTATATCACCAGAAGCTTGCATAGAGCAGGGATCAAAACTTTTCAGCCTGTAACGTCAAAATAACAGTGCAAATGACTGTTGACGCCCTAAAAATACTGTATATGTGTGGGGCTCTCTATCTTTTTAGAAAAATAAAAAATAAATATTTCAATAAATATCAATGTCTACTTATTTCATGGTATATTCATTTATTTCATGAGATACTTACATTTTTTTTTTATAATTCATGGTATATTTTGGACCACCATTTACATCAGGGATCACATCACAATGATCATAAAAACCATTCTAATCCCAATTTTGGGAACCCCTTTTATGGATGGATGGATAGATAGATATCCTTATGCAAGCAATTTAGATTTTTTTTTTATTCTTTGTGCTGTTGTCTTGACATTTTCAAAAATTTTTGAAAACCTTTGCCTCAAGCCCGATGCTTTGATTTATGTAACGTTGGTTTTCTATCTCAATACAAACATATAAACAAATCTTTTACATATTAAGAGTTGGAGAGATTGGGAAGTATATAATCTACAGCAGTACAGTTTTTCTTTCTTTCCTTTTAGCAATTATTGGCAAGCAGGTAAAATTCTAGCAAGCAGATTTAAATGTTACAAACATGTAAGAGTTTTTGGTTCTGGAGTGTCTGGAGTTCACACAGACCATCCATGTATGACTATCCAGCCATTTAAGTCAGTCAGGAGACAGCTACAATATGTAGATGCATTGGGTTGTTTTGACTTAAAATAACTAATATGCTAATAATGTGTTTTTCAACATATTTTATGCATTTATGGAATGAGCCCATCTTTCCCTTGTTCATTGACCCGACTGTAATGAAAATAGCATGGCTTCTCAATATGAATAAAATGTTCCTTTAAGGAAGGTTCATTTTTAGACCTTTTTTCTTCGCAATGAAAGAAAACAAAAAGTACAAAATAACAATGTGTATTTTTACAGATTTAAAGCTTTTTTGTCAACACTGTATTTCTTTTTTAACATTTTTTGTTCAAATATATTAGCACGTGTTGACATATCCAGTAGAGGGTATAGAAATCAGTTGTATTAAAGGAAGGACATGGCTGTCTGCACCCACAGCTGGATTATTGCAGACAGAGAAATGTGTTTCCTCAACGGCTCACAGGGTCTCAAACATTTAAATTCACTTGTCAGCAAAGAACTCAAGTGAATGAGTACCAAAGGTCAAAACACCTCCCTTTTTTCTCAACATGTCTCAAGGTTGGTTACTGATGATTGATTTTAAGTAAGTTTTTTGTATTTTTTACACACGTGTACTTCATCTTGTTACATTAATTCCATCTACTTATTCTTACTCTGATATGATAAGGGAAATTACTACTTAAAGTAACTTTAGTTAGTAAAAGTTATCAATTTATGTCACACTTTCTTGAGTGACTTTTGGTGTGGATAATACCAGAGGAAAGCAGTTGAATTTATTCCTATTTCTCTTACCAGAAGAAAAGCTGGACTGACAAATTTCCAGCACAGTCTCCAGTAAAGGCCTGGCTTGAAGCCCATCATTCTCTCAATATCTTCACTGAAGCGGTCCACACCTGCAGAGAGCATGAAAGGTTAAATGGCTACAGCAGATGGGGAAGTTGGAAAACAAGGATTATGTTGTTGCAACAAAATTGCAGCATGTGTTTTGTTTCAAGGGAATGCATTTCTTTTTTAACTTGAAACATCAGTCATGACCTGCTGATCCATGTGCTCACTCATTTCATCATAATTACAGTGATGTCACCCAAATATTGCACTTTTTTCTGCTTGCAATGTGATCCTTATTTCCTAAGTTATTGCTTTTGTCTCTTACATTTACAAGACCAACAAAGTGTTTACTTATAATGTTCTATTTTCTCTAAATTCTTACCATAAAACCATGCAACTCCAATTGCCTCAATCAGCACACCAAAAAGGATAGAGGTCCCTGCTGCGTACTTATCTAACAATGTCAGAATATAGATCCCACCCTGCAGAAAAAGACAGAAAAGAAGTTATAATCAAAAACTTAGATTTTATTTTTGCTTTTATACAATTTAAAATGGATTTATGCATGCAGGGTAGAACAATTACACACTGTACAGGGTACCATAATTCAAATTGCTCATTAAAGAATTACAGGTGATATATCCTCAAAATTCAGTTCTGAATATTAGTATTTGGCCAAAGACCAGTAAGTTTTGTTTTTATAACAAACTAATATCAATCCATTTAAACGTCCATGTACTGCAGTGTATATGCACCTTGTAATGGTCAACGCTTCTTTTGCAAGAATAACATCTTCAGTCTTTTCTGCTGAGGAACTGATCAGCCTGTGGCTCTGATGAGATGTGAAAAAAGCCTGAACTCCTGTTTTTTAATTCTAGGCCTCCTCAAATTGATGGTTAGTGCTTCTTTCCTTTCTACTGACAACACTTACGCACAACCCATATCAGGTGAGTTTTCTGGTTGATCAAGCATGGTACCATGGTCATTAAAGGATGTACAGTACTAGTGCTTTTGGTACTCTGGGCGATGCCAAGTCCTCCTCAAAAATGGAATCTTTATAAATTATTTCAACTGATAAAATAGATCAAGGACCCTACAATGACCTAACTCAATGCACAAGCGATCTAAAAATAAGTCAACATTTCTTAAATTAAATGCATTTACCCTTGATTTGAGTAGATCAATAAGATGAAGTGTCAATGGAATGATTTGCCAATGTAATGATTGGGATCCAATTTTTACTCTAGAAATAGATAATTAGATAATATGCACTTTAAATAAAACAATGCAATTGTTTTTTTTCCTATTTTAATTGTAAACTGTCTTGTTGAGTGTTGCATTTACCTCCTAAATTCAACAACAAATTCACTTTTTTGAAGAAAAAAAGACTTATCTAGATGTAGATTTTTTTTTCTTCTATAACTTTACTTAGATCTTCACAAAAATCTATCAATATGGTCCATGGTAGCTTATGTGTGATGCCTATGATATTGTTTCTTGAAGCACAGACTCATAGCATCTAATGTTATAGGTCTCCTCAAATCATTGAAAATTTTCAAAACCCTTTCATGATTTAGGTTATTGGAGTTTTCCTTAGATCTTTTTTTAGACTATACTTGGAAACTGCACTTTGTGAGCCACCAACTTCTTCAGTACAGCATATTTTGACCTTACTTTGGCTATTGGACAACTGTTATTCAGCAGTTATTCCTATTGCTCTACAAACCATGACAGCTATGGCATAATAGCTCTTTAATTAATCATTATTTTCTGTAGTATTCTAACTGAATTTGGAGTTTAAGTTCAGTCCAGAACTTTATTAACTGTAAAGGAAATTTTGCTTTACTGTAATGGCTAAAAACAACATAAAGACACTGAAAAATACAAAACCAATGAAGTCAGAACAATAAAAAAAATGAAAAAAATTAGAGCCTTTTGGATGATAAATTGAATTTTTTTTCTCACTAAAAATTGCCTTTTTAATGTTAACTGAGATGTATCTGAAAAAGGTCAACAACTCATTTATGGCTGTCAGTTGGCAAAAATTGTAATAATTTATGAGGAACAAGGATGAGGGTTTACAACATGTTCTCTCCTCTTAAGCGAGAGGTACATTTAGTCCATATCAGATACTGGCCATATGTGGAAAATGTTCTTGTTCCAATTAGATTTTTCTTTCTTAAATTAATACAAAACCACAGGAATCCCTTATGAAATCATTTAACATATTTTGATATCAAAGCTTTGCTTAACAAAAACTGTACTGTTTTTTTTTTCTGGCAGCAAATTAGAATAGATACAGTTTAATTGAATCAGAGACTGAGGTTCCTCTGACTGTTTTCTCATGAAGATATAAAATAATAAGACTTAAGTCAAGTGTATTCCAGATACACGGTTTCATAATGGAACAAAAAAACTTGAACTGTTAATTTAAATAATTTCACAGCATGTTTACCACACCTGTTTAGTAAACTAAGGTAATAAATGTAGTTTTAAGAAGCATCATAAATATTGATACTGACATTAGTAATGCATAACAGTGCAAAGAGGAAGGTTCCAAAAACTGTGGCAAACGTGAAGAGCTTTCTGTTTCTCTTGAGGATCTTGAAGTCATCTGACAGACCTGTAATAACCGCCTCCATGCCGCCCATCTGAGGAAAACAGACACAGACCTGATAGTCAGAGGTTTCTCTAAACCAGTGGAGCTAAAATAGATTGAAACTTGTACTCCTTTGGTAAATAAAGGTAACTGTTTTATAATAACATTAATGATAACATTTCTGCTATTATTGTCTGAATTATATTTGGGACATTTTAGACCAGAACAAAATCAGTTTTCGATTTAAATATAGTTAAAGAAAATGCCCCAACACTATGTTATTTTTTAAATTGTTAGGGTAATTATCACTGATTATGTGTGAGTTCATTAGCTGCCTGTTGCGTGTCAGAACTGATGTTTTCCCCAGTAGTTTATCTAATTAGGGTAGTTCCTCGGTCTGGCTATATACAGTTATAATATTCATTCTGTACGTGGCAAAGATTTGCGAATGCAATGAGAGAGGTGTCCTTCAGCTAAAAACAAAATGTAATATCTTGATGGGGCTGGAGCCATGGATCCTCATCTGAAAACGTGTATGATGTAATGATGTGATGATGTGGCAGACTGGAGTATAAAATGCTTCGCTTCCTGTTTGTCGCAGCCACTTCCCACAAAGTGACCCCTGTTGGTAAGCAGCTTCCTTCTGTAAGCCTAAGTAACTTCTCTGATCCGAGTAAGATTACAATTTCCATCAAAATCTGTTGTCATGCGTCATGGTTATTTAATACATATACCATATGAATTGTTCTTTAAAGAGTTTGTCCCAAGTGATCTCTTTTAGTAAACTGAACCAGAAAGAGAAAGCTTCAAGGTGTACACTTAGATACAGTAGGTCCTTTAACAAGGTCAGTTCTATTTGTCGTGAACAGATATTTCTGTTTATATCGTCTACATGCAGGATATCCGATATTTTATATGGCTTTGTTAAATGTTAACATGAATTATTTTTATTGCCAATAGATAGCTATTTTCTGCATGTAAAAACTACACAATGAACATTTTATGATGGTAAACATTTGGATATTTTCTGTAGATATTTGTTTTAGTACAAAGTTTGTTGTTTACACATGGGGATAACTCATAACTTCTGGAACAAGCAATTCTCCTCTAAAGCAGAGGGTGGCAGCAGTGGTACTTTCAATTGTAATGTCATTCCATTCATCAGCAACTGGAATGTCCTTTAAAAAATTTGACAACTTAATAGTAAGCATCTTAACCTTAAACTGATTAATTGTTCGAATCAATGTACTAATGTCAATGATGGCAAATACAGAAAGCCTGCTCTTTTCAGGGCAAGTTTTTGGGTACAATGACAAGAGAGAAAGCTTTGTATCTACAAGTCATCAAGGAGTGTGGAAGTCATGAAAAGAACGACAATTTAACAATTAATAATTGGTTAACCCATTACGTATTTATGTTATACAGATTCCCAAATAATTCATTTAAACAGATTTGAGGTTTAAATATGCGTGTAGATTTATTAGCGAGGGCTTTATGAAAATCTGTTCATTGTTCAAAGATTTAACTTGAATATGAAGATGTGAAGCTATGATGTGTGTTCATTTTCCTGTTGGTACAGTATAGCCCGAGCATTGAATAGTTGCGGAACCTATCAGTTGTCGGCTATCCCTGAGTGTGCATTGGTCCGGTCCGGTTAGCTCAATTGCATGTTATGTTGCTGCATGTTAAGTTGCTGGAATGTTTTTTTAAGCATCTATTAAATAGCTATATTTTTCTCAAAAGTTGATAAACAACTAAGGTTTGGGATGATTTGTTTTACTAGACAACAACTTGCTTGTATAAAGAATGGGCATATGTCAAAAGTTACACTTGTCTCTACTCTTTATTCATCAGAATATGTAAATCATTGAGGTTTTAACATTATGTTACACTCAGTAAATATTCTATATTTAATGACATAACAACTATCATCCACAAATTTCTCCAAAAGTGCTTTAGAAAAATATATTTCAGGTTTGGCTTTTCCTATTAATGGTGACCATCTCTGGGGTTCTACAGTGTGATTGTTCTTGGGATTGGTTGAAATTTGGCCAATCCATTGTCGAAATAATGTATAAAAAATATGCCAAATGAAATCCTAATTCTTCAGTGCAAATCTACTCTTCCATGCTCTGCTAGACTTTTAAACTTCACATTAAGTTGCACTTAACAAACTAAACAGTCAAACTGATCAGAAGACATTTATTATAAAATGCACGTCACTGATTGAGTTGTAGTGTTGGTTACACAAGTTACCAAACAGATAGCCATGCTGGTAGTTGCCATTCCTCCAACCAAGCTTTTGGAATGCAAATAATAAATTCTCAGCTCCGGTAATTGACTTTAATTGGCTGGCTCTCATTTTCTTCCAAAAGTCACTAATACAAATCCTGAAAACATGCCTATTCTGTTAGATTATTTATACCTGTGGAGTGGTTAAACAAACTCACCGAACTATCAATGCCCAAAGTTAGCAACATGATGAAAAACACAATAGCCCAAAATGTTGAGCCTGGTAGTGTTGCAATTGCCTCTGGATAGATGATAAATACCAAACCTGCCCCTGTAAGAACAAAAAGAAATTATTAAGATTCTAATGGGTCTTTAGAGATAATATAATTGTATCACTATAGTCTTACTTACCTTCTGTTGCGACATCTTGCACACTGACGTTATGTTTTTTAGCCATATATCCGAGCACAGAGAATATTGCAAATCCTGAGAAGAAACTGGTGATGCAATTCACTGTGCTGGTCAAGAGAGCATCCCTGGGTTGAAAAATTGCAGAAAAGTAAAAATGGTCTTTGGCCATGAAAAGTTAGACAGAAATATATTTTCTATTTTACTTTCTTGCTTTCTACAGTTCTGAAGTCTGGCTTAAGGGGTCATAAAGACTAAGTTGAATATTTGCCGCTCTACTTCAACTAACGTCCTTTGACTTACTCTGTGAATGATTGTTCAATTACATTTTATATACATTACGCGCCTTTAAACTTAGCTTTGTTTACTTTACATACTCCATATCAACTGGAACCTACAAAGCTCCAGGTTTAGTGGTTCAATGTATAATTAGAAAGCTCTTCCGTGACCACTGACAAAATAAATAAGGTCACAATGACCTCAGCCACCTCCTGGGTTTAAGGAGCAAAAGCCTCTGAATGAGCAATTTCCTTCCATTTGACTTCCCTTCCACTTTCCTTGTCTTCCTAGTTGTATGAGCTGTGAACAATTTATAGATGTTTTCACTGAACACCGCTGTCCTGTCCACTTATTCTGATCATTAGTCAGGTATATAAAAGGAATTAAGACAAATCTTTAGTAGGGAAAGAAAAAAATGACAAGACTAAGTAGTTCATTAGATTCTGAACAATATGTTACAAAATGTCTGAAAAAAACATTTAAGCAGTTTGGTGATCAGCCAAAGTGTATTATCATTAGGGATGCTCCAATATGGAATTTTAGGCATATATTGATAGCCGATGATAATATTGTCATTACGGCCGATACCCAATATTCACCAAATTTTTAAATTATACACATCTCTACCCTTTTGACATCATGAAAAACCCACCATTACTTCTCTACTTCAAATAAGCACCCACAATTTGTTAATATCAACCCAGTTTTACTAAAAAGAACAATATCAACATGTTTAAAAATTACCGACATTGACGATGTGAATGCTGATATATCCTGAATCCCCAGTTATCATCTGTTGTTTATATTGTTCCTTGCAGTTCTATGCTTCTATAAAGATGCATTGTTTTAATCATGTCTTCTAATTGAGCTTTCTAAACCAAGTTTTTCTATTTGGAAGCATTAGTAGTTTAGTGTTTGGTGGCCATATTAATAAATAGTATTTTAAACAGCAAGGGCAACACACTGACATATTTTGACATTTTATACTAATGTCAATAGCCAGTCATGCCAATAACAGCAACTCAAAATTAGTTTCCTAACCTTAAACCTAATCTATGAACTCATGTTTGAGTCTCACGTTGTGGCAGTTTTTCAGATGTCTTGCACAACCTGGATTAATTTTCACTGTAAATCAGGTGTAGAGAAAATAACCAAAGTTCATAGGTCATTCCAACAAGCATATGTTTTACAGAGTAAACAGCTGATTTACTGAAGCACAATTCCCTGCTAATTTTGCAATAAGAGCCAAAACTATGATTTTAATCTCAAATATAATATATTTAAACTTATTAGAACAGCTTGAATTCTTGGCACAGACATTGATACAGCACAACATAAAATTTTTTTATATCTATTCACACACTGTCACCTCAGTTAGAGCCTTGCCAAATTTCCCTCATTTACATAGGTTCTTATTGTTAGCATTGGCATAAACTGCATTATTTCCACGGCTGAAAATCCCTACTACATTGCCATTATGAGTTACAGTAGCCGTAATGACAGATAAAAAAAAATGTCTGGCTAAGTCAAAAATTATCAAAACATATTTTACTGCATTGTCCGCTGTTTATATCATAGTCTTGTTGTATTATAAAATTCATGTGTATTTCAACTGGAATTGCTCTACCTCTAAAATCCAGAGTAAATTGATCACTTTTTTTTTTTTGCCATAAATGAACTACCTATCTACACTGTTTGTTGTTTTTGTTTTGTCTGTTTCTTTTGAACTTGTTTAACCTTGTTAATTAAATTTTGTTTAATTGTTTTCAACCTCAAGCTAGACTTCCTCAGGTAACAGCATTTGTCCTAAGCAGCACCCCTACAGCAAATCAATTTTTGGAAAAGATAAGCTCACAACCTTGTGTCTGCTGTGTTTAGAAGAACAGTGGCTCTGTGAGACAAAAACAAAACAAAAACACACACACACACACACACAGAATAAAAATAACAGGTATACCAGATAAAGGTTGAAACCTTTCCTGGTCTGTACTTTATCTGTCCTTAAATGCTAGGACAATAACGTAAACTAGACAGATTAGCATCACCAATGTGTTGTGAAAATGTTTTGGACACACTGCTTAGATGTAGGATATTCCTCTGGGCTTGATTATCAACAATTTACTGTGAACTGCCTTACCTGTAGCAGTTGTTGTTAAACTTGTTATAGCTGGAAAACGCAATAAGGACACCAAAACCTGCTCCCAGAGAGTAGAATATTTGGGTAGCAGCATCGATCCATACCTACAGGTTAAATAACACATTTTTTTTTTTAGTTTTTCCATCGAGAAAATATGAAATAGATATACAGTTTGAATAATTAGTTTTCAAAAACTGTGGCGAAGTTTTTTTGTTGTTTTTTTTTTACAGTGTCCTGTCTGGCAATGTGGCAATAAGAATAATTGTATTGATGCCAAAAAGAGCCCAACAGATTTTACTTTCACAAGTGTAGCAGTATGGTAATTGCGGTTTAAAAACTTTGTGGTGAAGTTTTTAAACCGCTATTTCTGACCTCTAGGTTGTTGAGTCGGTTGAAATCAATATTAAGGTATGCCTTGATCCCTTCTGTGGACCCTGGTAGAGTTATGCCTCTGATGAGCAACACAAACAGTACGATATACGGCATAGTCGCTGTGATGTAGACAACCTAAAATATTCACATGACAAATAAACAATATGGGTCAGCATACATGATCAAAAAACACATGAATAGTCTCTTTCCTGTGCTCAACCTCTAAACATTGAAAATTACATAAGCACATTGCTATATAACATACATTATAGTGATAACACTGTTTGTATATTCTTAACTAAGCGTCTGTTAAATACATTTTACCCCCAATAACTATATAGGCTCTCTTGCCCTAGGAAAACTTTTTATATGTCACTTTCTACATCAATAGAAAGTTTTATTTAAGTTTTTAAATTGCACAAAAAAGATGCCCTTTAAAAATGTATAGAGGACAACACTTGAGATTATATTAATTATTGTAATGGAATAATTACAGCAATACCAGCAGTCTTCTATTCAGATGAAGCAGTGGGTCTAATGCTGCAGTGAATACTGGATCTGACTTGAGACTTACAGTAGTGTAATAATAAAGGCTGTGAAGACCACTTTTACCTATAGGCCAATGTAACACTTAGTTATTGGTGGACAGATCTGGCCTAGATGTCACGCTATGTGGTTCAGCAGGTCACTCTGCTGCTTTGGTGTTAATGATGTACATTTTACTAATCATCTTGCTTTTTGTGGGTTTTTTTCGTGTGTTAATGAAGACAAACTATAAATACTAATGATCATACCAGAAACAATTACTCCCAACAGTCAGAGCCCGAAGACTTTGTAATAAAATACTTTGTCGACAAATCCTACAGGATAATAGATAGTAACAATTTAATTTGGTTTCAAAGTCCTGTTTAGCCATAGCAATCACTGTTTAACACTTCCTCTAAACTACAATGAAAGTTATGCTTAATACAACTAGATACAAATGCTTCTAAGAGTTATTAAAACAATTCCAGATGATGCAAAGGGCCCATACCTTGCCTGAAGACTTGACACCTTTCCATAAGCTGAAGTAGAGGATGAAGACAACCACAACTAAGCACAGAGTTAAATCCCAGCGAGGCAAGCCCAGGTCCTGGATACCTCTACTTTCATGGAGATGCAACACACCCCGTCTGCATTGGAGAGAAAAATCCTCTTCAGCCTATTGTTTGTTTGTTTTTTTCTCTTTTTTTAATGATGTAGACAGGACTAAAAATGTACATTTCCTTATGCTTTATTATCATAGAACTCTGCTCTGAAATTTCATGTTTTAGAGTATAAGCTGAACAGAAAAAATTATATATATATCAAATAAAATATTTGAAATACTATAAATGTTTTACTGGCCTACAATGGTATTCAGTCAGAAGGATAGAAAATATTTTACTAAATTAAAGTGCCAAAAAACAACAAAAAAGGAACCTTTTAATTTTCTATTTTCTGTTTGACTCATGGGTTTTACATTTTCTGAACATAGTTCTTAGAGCAACCGATAAGTAAAATTAAAAAGCAGTCTAACTGTGGGTTGACAGTGGCTCAGCTCAAAAAGGGGTTTGCCCATAACCAGTGGTTTTCCGTCACTCCGTCTTTCTTAAATGTTATTGTTAGTTAGAAGGCCTGGTGGCACGTGTAAAGCAGCTCCGCTTCTGTCAGTCTGTCCCAGGGCAGCTGTGGCTAAAGTGTACTTTACAACCTTTAGTCAGAATGTGGGTGTGAATGATTAATTGTAGAGTAACTTTTAAGTCCTCCTAATGAATAAAAGTGCTTTTTCGTGTAGCACTTTGAATTGTCTTGCCACTAAAATGTGCTACATAAATAAAATTGCCTTGGCTACACAAGTACAGGGCATAAACCATTTGACAGCATTTACATAAATAGTTGAGAGAAACAAATATATAAGATAAGGTTTTGGCCTTGGGTGTTACTGATCTACTAATTAGACTGATAATTGTATTTGATTTAAACAGCTTTGGAACAAGACTCATCCACATGCTTTAATGCATATGTATATTTTGTATCAAACAGAGCCGTATAGGTAAGACACTGGGATTTTACTTTAAAGCAGTATTCTTTAGATAGATATCAGAGCTGAAGGGGAGGGCTTTAAAAAATATATTTCAATGCTAACATTTAGGTAAAGTTTGCTGAGACTGTACAGGAAGTCACATATATGTTCCCTGATTTACGTGACCAAACAGACTCATAAATGAAGTAAAATGTTTTATATTAGCTATTGATGGTTTTACCTCATTTTTGAAGTAAAATCATCAATATTCCATTGTTAATATCAAACATTTTGTTTAGCCAATGCTAAAGCAGGTCTACATGGTCTGAACTACTTCATAATGCAAATAAACAAGGGAAGACAAATGGCAGCTCCTTTCCTGTCTAAATATTGCTTCCTTCTGCAAGCTCTTAATGGAATGCCTGCTGCAAAGTGTCTATGCTAATAAGAATACACTTAGCTATCTGGTATATTTCTCTTAGTGACGATGAGAATTTAGACAAGGTAAAAGTACTTTAGAAACCATTATGAGCACTCATCTGTCCCTGATAAGAAGTTCTTGGAGCATGGTTTTCAAGGGGAATTGCTTTTCAATTGCTTTTACAAGAAGAAAAAAACCTCCCTGACACCTGGCACTTCTCAAGCCTAAAGGTATGTAACATTTGTTATGTTTATCTGTTGCCTAAATTGGGTGGATGTGCAGCTGAGAATTCTTTTAACAGGTGAAATAACAGGAGTATTTACAGACACTGATCCGATACTGTTATCCTTCTTTAATATATAGATTTTAATGTGGTGAATGTGAAATTAGTACTGCTGTTTTCCCACTTCTGCTTGATGAACGAGAGGAGGTTGTTTATTTTAGCTGCCTTTTTTCAGTCTGTGGAGCCCATGCTTCATCATTTTGAACCAACAATTTTGCAGTTGTCCAGAGATTTCTATTGGAAGACATTTCAAAGAAAAACCTTAAGCAGGGTTGTTTAATCCTGCTCCACAAGGCCTACTGTCCTGAATGTTTTAGTTCTTTCTCAGCTCCAAAAGACTTGATTCAAATGATTGCAGTCACCCATCATTAAGGGCTACATAGGCCTGGTAAACATCAATGTATATAAGTCAGGTGTGTGGAGGCAGGGAACAATTAAAACATCCAAGGCACTGCTTCCTGAAGAACCTGTGCCAGTTTATTGGTAAGCCTGTCACAGATCTTCCCAAATATTTAACAGGGAATAAAAAGTACTTGTCCAAATATTTATCCACTGTTTTACTTAAAATCCACTTGCAGTGTTTGGTGCCAAGAAGCTCAATGTTAGTGCCATGTGAAAAGTCCTAGTGGTGCTTGTCAAATTCCACAAGATTACGTTTGAGAGGGTAGGACAAAGAAAGGCTCTGTCTTGGACCGTTCTCAGACAAAAGGTCTCACACTTTAATCCTAGAGTGCCTGTGACCTGCAACTTTTAGATGAGTTTCTGTCTCAAAACACCTGTATGAGATAGTTATGTTATTGCATCTCTGTAAAACCTGACACCAGGATAGGGAGACATATGATTCAGGAATAGATGCATTGAAATGAATTGTAACTTGTGGTCAAGTAATTCTGCCATCTATATTTTTTTACATAAGACAATTAATACAGTATTTTTTTTTTTATGTTGGATTTTCTGAAATGTATTAATATGACATTTGGCTACTGCAGAAAGATAAATGTTTCCAAAGCTTTTTTTTTCCTATAAATCTCATAGCTATTTATTTTTCACCTAAAACAATAATAAAGTAAGATAAATAAATTACATAATGTAAGTATTAATATTAGTCCTGTTTGTCTCTGGGTTGCACTGGGATGGACTGGCGCCCTGTCCAGGGTGTCAATGTCTGAAACATGCTTCTAGAGAGGGAAAATTCAAAGCTGTCCCATTTTGGTATTGTGGGGAACCCATATGCATATTAGCACCAACAAACTGCCAGGTTTGTGCATGCAACCTAATCCTGGACTTGACTCTTTTCCTGACATTGCACAAGCAACAGTAATGAGGGTCTTCAGAGTTCTGTTTAGATTTCAGAGGTTTCTAAAATTGGTATATATTCAGTTCAGAGCATTGTCAAAGCTGTATGTATGATGTGTTGTGTACATAGAATTATTTTTAATTGAAAAACCGTTTGCTTTGTTTGTCAGTGAAATATATGCTTGGGGTACAGAGCAACCTAAATGCTCTTATTTTTTAGTATTTCAAGTTTTAAACATCCCTTGCTCCTCCACCTGTACTTAGACCATATAGAAATTAACCCCTGAGAGTCTGTCTTAGCTAAAACCTATTGGCACATTAAGCCTGTAGGGCCTACCGGAGAGCAATCAGTGGTTAAAAGGTTAAAATACATTTATAGTTTCCAATGATTCTTCTTTTTTCTGTTTGAGGGGGTTGATGTTTATAGCCTATTTATGTGCTTTCGTCTTAAGTAATAAGTCAGCTAAACCATTAACATTTTAGGTGTTTTTGATGTATTAAGCAACCCAGTTTGAAAGCTTAAACTCCCCGTTAGAAAAAGTGCTCAGGTCAGTCCTGACGTCAGCATGAAGGAATGTTCCATTTGAGAGTTTGCTTTAGCGTTAAAAATTTCTTCAAATGACGGCTTTCCTACAAACAAAACTCATGAATGTTGGTGGATGCAGAGGAGTGTGAGATGTGAAGCAACTGAATTGTTGACTCAGTTGTCCTCCCTCATGCTGTGCCTTGGCTTTGCTCCTGTTCCTAAAGCTGTAAGCAGGAGGATTTATTATCCCCTACAGTGGCAAACCAAATGGAAGATTTGTCTCAAAGTGTCTTATTGTTTTCGGGCTGCATATGTTCTTATTCTTTTATGTAAATAATATTTGAAAACAGGATGAAAAGTTATATTTTCCCTCCTGCTTTTATTAGTCTTTGTCTATAATGTGTGTCGTAATTCGGCAATGAAGCTTTTATGTGAGTGCTGTAGCTACTTGGTTAATAAAAGTGTTTACATACCTTCAACATATCAGGTTTGGCATTTCATGGAAAACTGAATATAACCTAGGGATACTGTTTAAATAAACACTGAGAGCTGGAGTGTTGCTTAAAAGAATGGGACCAGGTCTTTATTAATATCAGTTATTGGTGTTGATGGTGTTCAACGTATTCTGCACTTCAAGCCTTACATGTGTCCATTGTATTGTCTAAGTCATCCCACAGACTTCCTCTGGGCTACACAGTCTTCACAGAAGCTGAGGAAGAGCTGGCTGTCTTTGAAGTATAAACAGATGGAACTCTTTTCAAGCACTTCAAAGAGTGCATTTGAACTTTTTATGTATACACTTTTTGTAGTGCAAACACTTATAGTTGGACAATTTTAGGTTTCTATACTTGAATTTCAGTCGCTGGTTGCCCTATTTCTACAGAGAGGAGCTAACCAAAATAAGAGTTGAATTAATGAACACAATCATAAAAAAGGAAGCCCTATGCTCTGATAACTAACTCAGCTACATCTTCATGAAAATCATTATATGCAAGGAATTAATGATAGTAGATGACAGGTTAATTTCAAAGATTACACCAAATAAAAAAAAAACAATCATATTTCCAAGATAAGCTGAAAATACCAACTTTGGACAAAACATTTATAATTTATAAAATCAACAACTCACTCTTTACTCCTGTTAGAAAGATGGAGATGAAATGTATTTTACAAGGGTTACATTTAAATAAACTGGTATTAATTGCATTAAAAATACATTTTGCCCAATTATCCACAAATCATCTGTTGTGCATTGATTACTTAGCAGCAGTGAGCTTAGACATTTTGGGGAGTTTTTTGTTTTCTTTTATACAGCTTTTACCATCCTCTCTTCTACACATCATGACAAAATATGCAGAGTTCCTCACCAAGCCTTGTTTGGCTTAGTTCCATTATTTTTATTTTTATTCATATGCTTTAGTAGTAGACAAGCCCAAAGTTAGATGAGTATTTTATTGTAGGTATTTCATGACCTATAATAACTGAAACACATGTACCAAACTTATGTTACATGCTCTTTCTTCTATAACATTTTAAATAATTGTTAGAAATAGGTCCCATTGTCATATCATTCTCTAACAGGTGGTAGATGATGACTACTAGACTACTAAGGAGCAGTTTCAGACCACAATCACTTCTTAAGTTATTTCATTTGAATCATTAGGATGGGCTGCATGGTCTGTACAGTTGTTAGCAGTGTTACTTTTCATCTGAAAGTCCTGGTCCTGCATGTGGTCTCTTTCATGTCTAACACCAATGTGTTTTACTCACATTAAAAACAAATTCAGCTTACCTTAACTGGGGAACTTAAATTGCCCTTAGATGTAATTATGTATGTGCATGGTTGTCTGTCCATTTGGGTAACCTATCTCCCTCCTCTCCTGCATGTTGACTGCTGGAGTTAAGCAGGAGCAAATGCCCCAGACCCAAAATGCTATAAAGATAAGCAAGTCAGTAAAATAGACGACTGGGATTTTGATGCCATCGCCAGCATTACTGCTAATAAGGATTAATGAGGCATTTTTAGCAATTCAGAATGTGGACTAACAAACATTCTCTACTGCCTCCGGTGTCTTTTTACTGCTGTGATAAAAAAGGAAATTAATTTAGAATTTGTTAAACATCTTGAGAAGCAATGCGAATAAGCACAGAAAGTTACTATAAAGTCATCAGATTTTACTTACTCATAGTATTCTGCTGCTGGGGTGATCTTGTACTTGGCATAAGTACCATTGCCAAGGACAGACCCATTGATGTGTTCAGGGTCAGTGCAGTTTATGCTGTTCCAGATGTTGCCGCATTTCAGCCATGGAAGCTCACGTCTCATGGAGGAGAACAGGTAGTGGAGCGACCAGGCAATGATGACATTGTAGTAAAAGCCAACATAGAGGGCTATGACAATGACTGTGTAGCCAACACCTAAGGGGGAAAAACATGAATGATAGAAAATAACAGATTATGAAAAGTGAAAAATATTATATGAAATAATTAATACTCTTAAAATCATAAGTCTGTTTTTGTTATTACTGTTTTTCATTGGCAGAAAGCAGAGATGTGTACAGTATAAGACTTATGTTGATTCTTGTGAAAATATGTTAATTCATCCAATTAATCTCGTTATTAGAGACAGCCATTTATTGTGTTGTTTTTAATTGGGGTTTTTCTTGACTTATTTCATGACGTATTCTCAGTTTTCATCAAAGTTATAGAAGCAGGTGCATGTAATACCACTGTTATCTGTAAACATCTCAAAACCTGAAGTATTGCTATCTACAAAGCATAAGCTCTAACCGTTCATCATTTTGATCTCTTTTAGGGTAGAACATGAAGCCTGTGTTGTGTTATTCCATCTCTACTGGAATGTGATTTCTTTACATGAAACAGAGAAGCCTCATAAACCCTTCACCTTCTCGTTCTGCGCAGGAAAATAACAAACCCGCCTGCCTTGGTGCTGAAGCCAACAAAAGCACAGACTGGGGCTGTTTTAAAAGATACTCATCTGATAGCAACTCAACATCTTCTTAGATCTTATAAAGTTTACGAAAAAATTGAAATATGTTTATTGCAAATCTACTAAGTGCATAAAATACAAAATTTATTTTAACACAGTTGGATTTCATGCATGATTTGGACTGTACAGATGATCTCAACCAGAGAAATTATAAAAAGTGGCTGTTTTTCTGTATTTTTTCCCTCGTTTCTTTAATGCTGGCATGTATGACAACATCAATTTCCCTCACTAAAGTGAAACAAAATGTTGCAAGGGGAACAGAATGTTGCAAGTACAATTAGAAAGAATAGGTGACCCGCTGTGGCAGGTTTTAGTTACAAGGGGCTCTTTTGGACCTCTGAGGGGGGTACCGGAGAAGAACAAAGGGATGAAAGCAAAGGGCAAAGACACTTGAGAAGCCAATGAAGAAAGAACATGCTGATCTACAAGATTAAAATGTAACAAAGAGACTGAAGTCAATAGATATAACGTTTTCTTTTTATTGTAACTAACTCTTAATCTGAGTCTTGCAAATCTGTATTTGTGAAAAAATATCTACCTTTAAAGATGGGGCATATTTTCCAAACTGTAGCTGCCCCCTCCCGGTTGTACTGGCCCAAGGCAAGTTCCATGTAGAACAGTGGCATCCCAGCAATGAACAGGAAAAGAGTATATGGGATTAAAAAGGCACCTGAAAAACAGAAATAATGGGAGTCAAGTTTTCTTTTTTTTTCTTTAGCATATTTACTTTCAGTTTAGATTATAGGTTAAAAAAAAACAAAAACTGTTACACTTCTTCTTGCTGCTAACAAGAGTGTCAGCGCTGAGGATAAAAAAAGGGAACCAGAAGGGTTAGGGGGGTTCGATATTCTTAGAAAAATGGTGGGAAGGCTCAAAGCTATTTTCATGCTGTGCTTCAGAGGCACATCCACACCAGTGGAAGCTCAGATAATGGAATTGCTATTGACACTGTCCATCACAGGTTTAGCATTATCTTCAGTAATGAATAAGTATTCACTTGAGGCTTATTTAAAGGCAAGTTCAGCACTGATAAGGAGCACAGAAGTTGCAGAGAAAAACATGCAGATCTTTTTTATATTATTTACATTTGAATGGGGTACAAAAACAAACAGAGGACAGGGCACAGCTTCCAGTCAGGACTCAGTTGTCATTGATGTGGGAGGTTAAAAAAACAACCCTATTTTAAGCTATCCTTTGTCGGTTTAGCTACACAAACGTATTATTTTCCCTTTCACCACAATGTGGGTTCAGCATTCAATTGTTCTTGAATCAGCTGTCAGACATAAACATAAACCCAAAGAGCACTCAAACAGAAAAAAATATTATAAGAGGTTGAAATGTCAGGGCATAACTTACTAAGGCATTTCTTCAATTTCAGAAAACACAAAAATATTCAGCTTAACACTGTTGTCTGAAAATATTATTGAAAATGTATCCATAAATATTATAAATATTTACAAAAATAAAATGACCAAAAAAATCTTAATGAGATCCAAACTGGAAAAGCGTTTGCTTATAGATCTGGAAAGTTCATATAAATAAGGTAAAAGTCAAATCATAATCTACAGTTGACAATAAGACAAAAGAAATATAAAATGGGTTATTTACTCAATCATGAATGAAAATTCACGCTTTCCTATTTAAACTCAATTTCACCATTTAAATTTCACAAATTCTCGGCCTTAGGTAAAAAGTAAATAATACATTTAGTTTTACTTGTTGTAAAATAAATAAATACATTCTTGTTGTTATTAGAAGACCATATTGTTGTTATTATTAGTATTTTTATTAATAATTTACGCGCATTAGTAATGAAACACAAAACTCACTCACCTCCTCCGTTTTTGTAGCATAAGTATGGAAATCTCCAAACATTAGCCAAATCCACTGCAAAACCAATAACGGACAAGAGAAAGTCTATTTTCTTGCCCCAAGTTTCTCGGTCGCTCTCTGGAGGCGCTCCGGGCAAACCTGCGTGGTTTACAGGATTGGAAATAATGCAGGAGCTGGTGTACTGGACTCCGTTCTGGTCCTTGACCAGTATCAATTCTACCTCTTTCTTCTCCACATCGCACTGTTTCAGCGGTGCGACCGATGAAAGTTTGTGTTCTGGTAGAATCTGGATGTTCATCTTCTTTGCAATGAGTAGCGCACTCACCGGCGCGATGCTCTCACAGCCCCCTGCGGGTTCTGGTAGGGCTGTCTATCTAAGTTAATGCGCTGGACTGGGGATAAAAGTATCGCTGACAAAAACAGTGACAAAAGATTGTTCTCCAGCTTAACTACAGGTGACAGCTCTTTGTACATCAGCTAGACAAGAGAAGATGAAAAAAAAAATGTTGGGAAAGGTTTGGTGTTCGCGCGTAAAGTTTACGCACTAAGGAAATCACTGTTTAGCCTCAACTGGGTAATAAGCGACAGAACTTTGTCTATAGGAGACCGACCTGATGCCCATGTGCTTCTGCTACAAGAACAGTATTAAAACGGAACATGATCTCTAATTTACAGCAACAGAAAGTGCCAAAAGAAATCTGCTCCAGTGCGTCACCAAACGTACCGAGCAAAGAACCAAGATTTAAGACATATTAACAGGCAGCAGTCAAAGATAAAAAGGTCCTAGAATATGGGTGAGTTACTAAAGCAGTAGAAAGCTCTTCAGTTTAAGGCTGCTCTCCCGTACTTCAGAAAGCTACTGACGCGTCTCCATGACCCGATGCTGTTGCGCTGTGGATGCATCTGAAGGAAGACAGCCCTTTCTGAAGGAACTTTGAGACTTGCCTTCTCAAGCAGAGACGATAAAAAAAAAGTCCTAGCTTTGAAATCCGTTTCCTCTCTCTCTTCCACGTGGTATTTTATAATTGAACATTTTCGTTTCCTATGTTTAATGTCATTTTGGCATGATCGGCAAGTTCTAAACTTTCAGCTTCTGAAAAGGTATGATAATCCAGTATCCAATATGATCAAATATAAATATATATCAAATCAGTTCTGTATGTTATTCAGCTGTTTGCGGTTTTGATACTGAGTTGGATTTTATTTTGCTTGTTTGTTTGTTTTTTCTTTCTTTCCCTCTCTTTCTCTCTTCCTCTCTGTATACACACAGGTATATATATATATATATATATATATATATATATATATATATATATATATATA